TCTCACTGTTATTGATAATTATCAAATATCCACAGAGTTTCAAATCCAATGAAGGCTATCAGTAATCTAGTAGTCTATTTCCCTTGTGGTCTGTATAAACACTTAATACTGATTAGAAAAGAAACCATTAATTTCATGAGAACTAAAGCTCTGTTTTACTCAATTGAGGAAAACAGAATATTATAATCAAATGAAAAATTTTAAAACAGGTGTTAGCTCTGCTTTATTAAAGGATTCACTACAAATTCAATGACAAATTGCCATAGAATACATTAATTTTCTGAATCCTCATACATATTTTGGAAGCACAGCTAAGGGATATCAGTATTTTTTTTTCATATATACATTCCCGTTTCAAGCATTAATACTGAAATAACTTACTGATTCCTGAATATATAGTAGATTAACAATAGGAGGAAACATCCTACTAGGTAATAATGAAAAGGAAATTTATCTTTAAGAATATGTTATAGTAATTTATAAAGTATATGATTCATACACAAAGAATCAGGGCTTCACATCTTTCAAGTGGATTTTCAGCTAAAAATGTGTTCATCTATGTCTCTGCCAGTCATTCCAATCTCAGTCTAAATTCAAAAGGCTAATTTTAAGTTCAGTTTTCTATTAACTGAGTTTTATTAACTTTGAACACTTTACAAACTGCTCCATTTTAGTTACTCAGCAAATAATTATTGCACTGATAATTTACTGAATTTGTCAAGGAGTATAAAATGCTTTTGGTTAGGTATATTTTTACTTGAGCCCTATGTTTTACATTGCAGGAGGCAATAACGGTTACAATGGTCTAACACTGAGGGATACTTAACAAATAATGTATTTTTGAAGTTCATGTACAATAACTATGCAGCTTTCAAAATAACCCTAAAGAATCTCTTACTGGAACTGACTACTGGCAAAAGGATTTCTTGGTTCTTTTATAACTAATTATAACAATGAATGCATATGAAGCCAGATTTAAAGTTAGGTAGTCAGTGTAGTTAGGTAAATCGGGTCTAATATCGAGTGAAATCTAAAATGGAGGCCATGTTGAGAATGAATTTCCAGAAAAGTTGAGCAACTCTTGGAATGTTAATGAAGCCCAGGAAACAGCCCCCAACAGATTTGAAGATAGCCCATCCCAAAGAAATGTTAACAGCAAACTTGACGGAAAGTGCCCAGATTACTTCTTTGGCCCACCTGTGTCCCAACCCTTTGGACCTTCCCACCTACATTCCATCACCAAAAACTATAAATAAGGGAACACATTCACCCTTCAAGGGATTCTACCTCTTGGGTTCCCTTCTTTCTCCGCCCTAAGTCTTTTCTGCTGTCCTTTAATAAACTTCTAATTTTCCACTCTGACCTTGCCTCAGCGTGCTTCTCTGGTGTTATTCTTCAACATTGGGGAAGCAAGGACTCGTCACCAGTCAACATCGGAAACACATTCATAATGTGTGGCTTTCAATTCCATAGCTCGAATTGGTAGTTTGGTAATTTATTCAATGAGGTGGTAAAATCGAAAATTTCACATTAACCTCACTATGGTTAGAAGTCACCACTAATGATCTTAAAATGGGTACTATTCTACATATCCTAAATTCTAACTTTAAAGAATTCACTTAAAGGAAGTTACCTATTCCTAACTCAAAAAAAGACTAAACCACCAAGTTGGGGGCAGGGGGGGGGGCACTGGGAGTCTTTAAGCAGCTTAAAACTGACATTACAATGTCCTAGAACAAGGGTCACAATTTTGCTAAAAAGGCAGTCCCTTAAAGTACCTAATTATACTCTTGAGACAGTTTTGCACAAGCTTCATTATGTGATTTTCTTGCCTGAAGATTAAAAGCAGTAAATTAAAAGGGTGGGAAGGATAATAGAACTATGTTCACTGACAGCCGGAAGAAGCAACAGCTGACAGTGAGGAGACAAGAAAACTGTAACAGACAATAGAACTAAAAAAGCAAAGCTATTCAGAGCCATGTAGTGTGAGCAAGCAGCCCTAACACCATTGTAGGACTAGAGGACTTTATCTGTAAATGTAATAAAATGAGTATTCTAAATTTGAAGAGCTGAACTGCTACTGGTCACGTCAATGAAGTAACAGTGGGTCATGAAATCTTTTACCTTTAGCTCAATGCTGTCCAATGAGTTATTATTACATGGTAACTCATAAAAATACAACTTTTATGAAACTATGGAAGGTTAACAATATTACTTTCTTAAATCTATTGTCCCAATAGTTGGTTTCTAAATCCTTGTATTTTATGACCCAGAGAGGTAAAACTATTTCTAGAACTCTGCTTATTTTTCCTACAATGAGAATCTTTTCTACTTAATAGTAGTGTTGCCCGGATTAAATGAGATAATGTATGCAAAACCTTAACGCAAGGTCTAGGACACCAAAAAAAAAAAAAAGAGCTCGGTATTATTTTAGCACTGGTGAACTCATGCCGGCCCAAATCCCTTATTTGCAGGTGCAAAAATTAAGCCCCAAGAGAACTGACTTCCTAAGGCTCTACTTCTAATTTATTGTCTTCGATAAGCTGCTTAGCTGCAAACATTGGAGATTTTGGGTATTGCCAGGGCCCGGGGACACGTGCCTGCTGGATTCCAGTGTGTCAAGAATTGGACGAATATGTTTGAACCATGCATTATCAATGGATGTTCCAAATAGCAGGTTGTGGGCTGACAACGTTTAACATAGAAGGAAGCCATTCGTCTGTTTCAATACAGCCTGGAATGGCATGAACCTCTACTACCTTAGGCTGTCAAGTAAAGAGGCTAAGGGCGAGGCAAGAAATACAATACAGATTGAGCTCAATTCCAAGTTTGGTCAACTCTGAAGAGGGATGAACACTTTGCTTGGGGGGGGGGTGAAAATAACAGAGAAACAAAAATTAACGGGACAGTAGTTCAGGCAAGTGTAAGTTACCCCACCCCTCCACGCCTTTCGTCGAGGGAGCTCGCCAGGGGTTTTCTCATCCTCCGGGAAGGGCAAATTCTTGTTCTTTATTAGCACTTGGGAGTGACGACTTCGCCTCTTCGCTCCGGAGTGAGGGCCGGACGCGCTCCGACCTCACTACCTCTCCGCGCCAAACCGCTGCGGGTCCGCGGGAGGCCCGCCCGCTGCCCACACGCGCCCCAGGCTCGCCTTCTCTAAGATGGCGGCGAAGGCAGCTCGCTCACACCCCGCCGCCCGCGCTTCCCGGAGTCGTGGCCTCAGGAGGCGGGAGTAGAATAGGGCGCAGACAACAGAAAGGAAAGGGCAGCTCGGACCCTCCAGTCCAACGAGGGACCCAAAGAATCTAGTAAAGGGATAAGCCAGGAGGCAAACACTACCAGTAACACCGCTGGCGATTCACGTACGAAGCAGTGCCACATCCGGGCCCTCCGCCGAGCCCGCCCCGGAAATGATGTTTGTGTGTGTGTGGGGGGGTCGAAGGCCGTTCTTCAAAGTGGATGCTTCCCCCGCCATAGCTCGTCTCCTCACAAAGTGCCTGGGATCGCTCTTACTATTCTCATCCCTGGTTTAGCCATTACCCTCTCATGGCTCTGGGGCTTCTCTGCACAAAGCTGGCTGCGGTGACCGACAATTCTTTCTTTACAGAAAGTATTCCTCGCATTCTAACTCTAAAGTCTCCTCGGCTTGACCAAATCGTGTAGTAGCGTTCGTCCGAGAGGACTTTTAGTGACGGCAGGCCTGGCCAAGCCTAAGCGCACTTCTTCGGAGTCCCTAAATCAGAATCCCGTGCTCTGGGCCATCCCTCCGCCCGCCCGGGTTCGGAGCCTTGTCAGTCAGGGTGGTGAGCCCGCCCCTTCCGGCGACTCCGCCGGCCCGCCTCCTCCCCTCTTCCCTCCCCCACCCCTCCCCGTGCGAGTGTCTCCCTCTCCCTCTCGCTCCCTCTCTCTCTCCCTCTCTCTCTCTTTTGTGAGTTATAGCAACCGTTGCCTTGTGAATCAAGCGCCATAGTCACCGTAGTCCTGGCGACTGTTACCCATCAACAACAACTACTCCTCTCCTCCTCCTCCTCCTCTTCCTCCTCCTCCTCCCCACCACCACCATCTCCATCACCCACCAACAACACCACAATAATCCACAGCCAAGGTGAATATTCTTCGGTCTCTACATGTGTGTGGGAGCGTGTGGATGCGTGTGAACGCGTGTGTCCGTGCGTGTGTGTGTTCGTGTGTGCGAGCGGAGCGTGGCTGTGCGGGGTCTCACTCCTGACACCCGGCTGCTGCTGCGGCGCGGCAGCCGAGGGGCTCTGTCCCCGGCTTGTTTACAATGGACCCTGCGCGCCGCGGCGGGGTCGGGGGTGTGGGCGCCGCGCCGCCCGCTGGCCCTCCCCGGCCCTCGGCGGCCGCACTTCAGGGATGGAGCGGGAGCGCGGGGGGCTGAGAGCCGAGCGGGAGAGGGAGCCACAGTTTTCCGATGCCGATGCTGGATCTTTCCCTTAGGTCTGGTGAGAGGAGGAGGGTCAGGTGAAGAGATAAGGGATTTTTTTTGCCCCCGTTCTTTTTCAAAGCTGCTTGTTTCCTTTTTCTTTGAAAACCGAAATAGATAACAATGTGCGGCCGGGTGGGGGGACCCAAGAGGGGGTGTTTTGTTGTTGTTGTTGTTCACTTGTGGGGCCTTGTTATGGGTTTTGTTATTTTTATCCTCATACATCCGTGAACTTTTCCCACCGCCTATTCCCTTCATTTTTGCCCCTCTTTGCTTGGTGCTAAATGATTAGCTGCTCTTCTTTGACCATCATCAGCTTCATGGTTTTCTTTTTTCTTTTAAAATTGTATTTTCTTTGTGCTGCAAACAGTCTTAATATCCATTCAGCACTCTTCCCTCCCCCCCCCTCCCGCCCCAACCCCTTGCACATACATTGAAACCCGGGGCCTCTTCGCTGGGCTCTCTGTTGCACAGGGAAAGAGATTTTTTTTTTTTTTTAAAGTCTGTCTCTGTCTCTTTTGGTGTGGGTGTGTGTGTGTGTGTGTGTGTGTGTGTGTGTGTGAGTGTGTGTGTTTGTGTGTGTGCCGCGCGCTTGCTTGTGATTTAAACCGGATGCAGGGTATCTGTTGTACTTGGGTTAGTAGTTATTGACAGTGCTTTATCCTTCTTGTAGAGATGGGAGGGAGTAGTAGTGAGGTTCCATTTCACTTTGATGAACCTCCCCTCCCCACAGTGGAGTGTTAACAATTTTCATTGTGGTTATGAGACTTCGTGTGTGATGAACAGGGAAAGGACACAAGGAAGCTTTGAGAACTCACTTCACAATGTTATTTGTGACAGTTATGGTACTTTAAGAGGTTTTTTTTTTTTTTTCATCATTTCCCTTTGAGAGTTGAAATTGAAGTCAAGTTGTTCATAAAGAATGCATGAAGCTTCTCAACTTGAAACGTGTGTATATTTCACTTTCTTTGTGGTTGTTAAGATCTAGGCATGTGTGTACTTAACATATATTTTTTATTTACTTTTTAATTTTCTTTGGACAGTGAACTTAAACCTGCTAGGAAGAGGGAACTTCTTTTTTTTTCCCCAAGAAAATGTTTTTCTCTGCAGATTTGAGTACTTCTCAGTCCTCAAGTAGTAGGGTTCTTGATTAAAGCTAACCTGGTTTTACAGATCTCTTAATTTTGTTCATTTTTCAGTCTAATTTTTAATTGATTATCAGTCAAAAGTATTGTAAATGAATGTATACTAAAACAGATATAATGTACTATTATAGTTGCACATATTGTAATTTCAATTTAGATTTTAAAATACTTATTTAAACAGTATTCTTTGTAACAGCAAACATATATTGATTAACTGACAGCAGCCTGTGAATAATATGACAGCATTAATTATTGAGATTGTCAATGAGCAGGTTGGGTAATTATAATGCTATTTAGGCTAATATTTTAAAATAGGAGTTAGGGGTTTAATAAAACTTCCTTTTTCGTTTTCTTGTGATTCCTATTTTAAATGCAGATGATATTTTATTGGAAAGGAAGTTTTCTTCAGCACTCACATCTCTTTCTAATCATCCCCTCCCCAACCTAAATTCCATGAAAATTTCTCTGACTAACTTGTATTTTTTTTTTCTGTTCAGATGAGTGTCAAATGCCTGAACACTTTTGGATGGTGAAGCTCCTGGGTCCTATAAACTGTCTCTGAAGTTAATAGGAGTTTTGCTGTCTTGGGATAGTTTTAGATCTTATGCCATTTACATAAGTTTCAGTCAAGTAGATTATATATATTCTACAATGTTATATTTAGTATTTTTATTTGCAGTGTCTAAAAACATTTTGAGGCATTTTACTTGTGTGTTTTAGATTTTCTAAAATTTAAATTTAGGTTCACAAACTGATTTGAAAGCAGAGTTTAAATTGAATTTGACTTCTTAACCAATTTTAAAGCATGCATGTGATATAAAAGTTGCTGTTAGAGATACTTAGGGCTCAAGTAAATGAAAATTATTCATATGGATTGGTTAAATAATAATCATAAATAGTAACAAAACAAATGACATTTAAAATTAAATACAGAGGTAAATATTCAGCATTTAGTTCATTCTTTCTGTAATATTTTTCCTAGAAGAGTGTATGTTATGTGTTGGTATTGCTTTCAGTTTTTAGACTATCAGAAATCTGTGAAAGTAATCATGCTTTCAAACTATATTCACTAGTAACTTTGAGTAGCTAAATATCGTTTATTTTATATTATAATGCTTTTCAGTCTTTTTGTATTGTTTTTCCTATGAATTATATTAAAACATATAGGACATAGGCATAGTAAATTTACATGTATGTAGTAAACTAATAATGTATTCCTAGAAGTTTGTATCGTTTTACAACGTTTTCATTATATAGAGGTAGTTGTGCCTGATTTCTGAAATACTGTATTATTCTTCAGTATTCAAATAGTCTTGTACTCTACTTAGGTACTCAATTAAAAGGTTTATAGTTTAAAAGCTTGAAATTCTTTAACCTTAAATAATTTTTTTAACCTTTAACAAATTTATGGTAATTTTTTTAACCATTAAAAAATAACAAAAAACCGAATGAATCCTAAGATAGTTGCCATGCACTATTTGAATGATAAGGTTACTTTTGGGTGATGTTTTTCATTATTCTGGAGAAAGTTGGTATTATGTATGCATTTCTCTAAACTTCCAACTCAGGGATAATAAGTATCACTGTATTTTCAAACTGTAGGTGGTACATAATTTTGCTTTTCAGATTTTAAATTATGTGTATGTTTGTGTATATTTTTAAAGGATGGGTGTCAGGTGTGTAGTAAGAGTTAATTTTTTCCCCCCTGATCTGAGCAGTCTAATAGGATTGTTACTTTGTTGTTAATACCTACACTGAGAATATAAGAAATGAAAATACTAAATAAGTAGACTTTTTAAATGATGAATATGCTGGTTGTTTATTCTTTTATGTTGAGCATCTGACTAAATATCCTTTGTTCTCAGTTACTTTATAAAAATAGTTTGCTTAAGTAAATCATTTGCCTTTAACTCTTTGGATATTCTAGTAGCTACCACAAAATGGCTTATAAATTCCTTGTTGTTCACAGGTGCATAGCGTTCCCATATTTTGGAAATCCAAGATAAGTAGATTTGACTAAATCTAGTGTGTTAAGAGACAGATGGCTGCTTTAAACAGGTGTCACTTTCATTTTTTTACTGCATTGTGTTGGGACTTCCACAGGGGTTCACAAAAGGGCTGTCTAAAGCAGGTGGCATCCTTTGCTTTTGTCTTTGCTTAGATATTTTAGAGTTAATTATTTTCCTAGGAAGAGGTTTTTTTTTTTTTTTTTAAGTAAAATTTTTGTACTGTCCTCTTTGAACTACTGAAGATTGGTCATAGCTCATGTCTAAGTATCCCTGTATTTTCAAGCTGTAGAACTTGTAGATGCTTTTATAAACTATTTATCAATTTTTACAAATAATGACAAATTCTCTTTGAATCCAGAAAAAGAATGTGGAAGCTCCTTACACATTCAAAGGTCAAATTTATCTGAAGCAAAAGGATTTGACTAAAGTGAAATTTGGTTAACATGATAAGTCAATTTTAACCATTTCATACTTAGAATAATTTTTTTGGATGATGTTATTTTAATTTGAGCGATATGTTTTAGAAACAGATTTTTTTTGTTAGTTTCATATTTTAAAACAAAAATTTTCCTGACCTATTTTAGTTGCTGCTATAAAATTTGTAGAGTTCTTTTAAAATGAAAATTGTTTTAAGCATTAGAGTTTAAAAATATATGCTGGAGTAAATAAAAGAGTATCAACCTATTGATTTCTAAGGTTTATTTTTACTCTGTGATTCCATCGCTTTTTTTTTGTAGGAATTTTGCACATCTTATAACAGATGCACCAGAGGGTGCTGTGCTGTTATCAATATTAGATTATTATAACTAAAAATGTGAAATGATTAGCCCTTTTATTTAAAGAAAAAATTTTAATTACCTGTGTATTCAAATACATAGTCTTATTTCTGTGGAGTTTAAAATTTAATGTACTGTCTCATTGGCACTTTTATATTGAAGTGTGTGTATTATTGCAACATATAGCATACTAAAGTTGAAATCTTTGATGTAGTCAATGTCATCAGTAGTCCTTATAAATTAAAATATATGCAGATTTTTGAATATCAAAAATTTATTTTAACTTGAGAAAAACATAACCTGGTGTTTTGGTTTTCTAGAATTTGATATTGCTGCCACATATCAGTATATTACATGTTCTTATAACACTTTTATATAGCATAATTAGTGATAGGCTTTCATGGCATATTGTTCAGAAATATACCTGAAAAGTATGAATGTTTATGGTGGCTAAGTAAAGGCAAATATGGTGGTTATCATGCTTAATAATCAACAATAATAATATAAAAAAATATCTATATAAATCAGTTCCTGCTTTATGCTGTTGGAGTAGTCTGGCTTGGTTTTTTTTTTTTTGTAAGTATTGATTTTATTTTTTAAATACATGACGGCGGGATGCATTACAATTCTTATTACACATATAGATCTGGCTTGGTTTTTTAATTCTGCTTATTATCAGCAAAGTTTTAGATTCTCTGCCTATTCTGTGTCTTATACTTCTAAAGTAGGAACAATTTTCTGTATCTGGAGAGATTTTTTTTAGAGCTGTTGAATCTGGTATTTTGGGCTGCTTCTTGCACATCAGTTCTTTTCACAACAATATACTCTGAAAGGTGAATACTGACACAGTGGTGTCTTCCCCAAGTAAACTTTGAAAGGTAAAGATTCATTAAAGGAACTTTTAATTCTTGATCATGGATGTATTCCACATTAAACTATAATCAGCTAATGGTGATAATTTTAAAAAGTAACTTTATAAAGTATAACAATTTATGTGGTGGAATGTGTCAAAGAATATAAAAAGTCACTAGAGAGTAACAATATTTTTAAATACTGGTCTTAACTAAAGAAGGTTAGGCATTTTTTCTGTAAAAAAAATATAGTCCCACAGTTTACTAGTTAGTCAATGACACCGTGATTTTTAAAAGTATATGACAAATTGTATTGTTTAGAAATCTTTATATTTGAAGTTTTGGGTTTCATATCAAAGTACAGCATGTACATCATTAAAATGATCAGTTATAAAACTGCGTTGTATTTAGAGTATCAATACAAAAATGCATTGGTTTGAGTATATTAAAGGCTAAGAACACAGGCTTGGAGTCAGATTTCAGATAATCTTATTAGCTGTATGACCTGGGACAAGTTATTTGCCTTCACTTAGCCTCAGTTTTCTCATTTGAAAGATAGGGTAAATCTTAGGGTTTTTGTGAAAATTAAAAGATAATTTATGTAATGTAGGTTAGTTAGTCTTTGTTGTGAAATACCTGTTGGTTATTTTTATTAGGAAATGTTTAGATACCTATTGTAACCTTTTTGCTACTTAGTTATCATTTGAACATGATCCTTGGTGACCATTTATTTTCTAATGTGGCTGAAGTTCTGAAAGACTTTGTCCACTAGTCCAAGTCCAAGTTATTAAGTAATTATTCTTTTTTCTCTCCTTTTAAAAATAAAACAAGACCATGAAGATATCTTTCAGTCACAGGTTTGGATTGCCATTTGGTAATCAGTCTTGTTACCACATTGAATTAAAAGAATGTTAGTCCAAAATTATGTTTTAGTTTTACTCTGCAGCCATATTATAGTGGGGCTCCTTCTACTACATTTACATAATTCTACTGGTCTAGGGATTTCAGATTAAGAACTAATGATGTAACATTTCATTGTGTCTTACACTTCCCATTGTCCATTTCATTATCCTATTTAGATTTTCCTCTTCACGTTTCACGTGAATTTGTTTGAGTTCATTTTGAGCCTTATTTATAAACTTCATATTAAATCTAGTCATTACTATATAATAGGATATTCTGGTCAATTTTATAAAGATGAGTTGTTCAAGGAATTATTCTGCAGGTCTATAACATATTGCTTATTATTGTTATTTACTGAGGGTATGAAATGTATGAAGTCAGCTCTGGTCTTCCTATAACAATAAGGAATTTTGGAATTAATTTGCTAACTCCTATCTTAGATTGTAAAGTAATCTTTGAACATTATCCAGAATAATATATGAAATTACAGAGGGGAAATGTCTTCTCTGGCTTCCTTTCTTTGGATGTTAGAAATGTTTAACGTTTTGAAGTTGGAAGCTAAATATAAAGTTGCTGTTTGGTAATATGATACATTTTTATTCTTTTGAGCAATTTGATTAAGAATGAAATGTTTTTCTTATTTTAGAGTGATTTAAATGGTTTTAATCTTTGTCAAAGTAGAAAAATTATGATTAACACATTCCATCTGAAAAATTTGTCTGATAGTCATTTTTTCCCCCAAAGTATTGTATATTGTACCAACTTTTTGTTTGCCTTTCATTTTACCTGCTCCTCTCTTCCCCCATCTTGTGTTTAATTAATTATATGACCCCCCTTTATGTTATTTTTATAATTAGCCCCATCACATAAATGAGACTTACTCTCAACTCAGCCATCTCCTCTGCTTGTGAATTTGACACATTTTAAAGAAACTTTTCAAAAAAGTCTAGGAAATAGGGCTTTACATGGGAAGATTATTTTCAGTCATCTATTATTTTCTTACAATATTCATCTGACTACTCTCTTTAACAAATATATAACCTTATTTCACTAATGATGTACCTAAGTGTAGTTTTTTTTTTAAGAGTGAGAGAGGGGGGGAGAGAGAGAGAGAGAGAGAGAGAGAATTTTTTAATATTTATTTTTTAGTTCTCGGCGGACACAACATCTTTGTTGGCATGTGGTGCTGAGGATCGAACCCGGGCCGCACGCATTCCAGGCGAGCTACCGCTTGAGCCACAACCCCAGCCCCCTAAGTGTAGTTTTGATTCAGAATTCTCCCTCATCATGAGTTTGTTCTTACCTCTAGCTAAGTATTTTAGGGTTAATCTCTAGTTCAGTCTCTAATTTGCACAGTCACATATGCCTGTCTGTTGCTGACTTTTTTAACTCCTGGATTCTTTCTCATTTAGAAATACCCAGTCAGTACAACTTGTCTTTATTTTATATTGCTTGGACAAGGAGTCCCAGAGGTTCTTCATGTTTCCTGTTTAGGAAAAAATAGGTATGGGATAATAGGAACTGAATCAGTGATAAGAGAGTAAGAAAAATTAAGTATATTAGTTGGTGAGAGGAGACAGATAAATTAAATGAGAGACAGTGACTAGGTGAGAAATTAAGGACTTCAAAAGTACCAGCAAAATAAGTATAAAGAGGAGACAACAAAAGTACTCAGTTTGCCCCTAATTGTGAAACCTTAGCCTAGTCACTGAAATTCTGTAGGTCTCAGCCTTTCCATCTGTAAAATGAAACAGTAGGACTTTGTAATCTCCAAAGCTATTTCCAACACTAATAGTTTCTGATTCCATGCCAAAATTGGCACTGGGAAAAGGAAGCATGCCAATATCATAGAGCCAGGAATTGGTGATTGCTTTACCTATGTTCTGAAAGGCTAGCATGTTGCTTGCCCTTGCTGCTTCTAATAACAACAACAAAGAAATAAAACTCTAAACCTGACACTAGGATAATGACCATACCTATGGCAAAGTGTCAGAAGGTTCTACCATTTCATTGGTTCTAGTAGAGAGGATGGCCAAGTGCCCTGATTTGCTCACCCACGTAGGAATTATCTGAGCCTCACAGCTTGAGTTCCTGCTGGAGCCAGCTTCACTATGTATGTGTGCCAGACAAGTGTCTGACAGTTGGGGCTCCTGCCTGTTGCTCACCACTGAGTTATTTAAAACTGGACATAATTTCACAAGAATGTGGATAGATGAGAGAGAGAGACGGACAGACCAGAAGCACTAGAAAGTAATTTAGGTTTCTGTTGATTTCATTTTTTACATTTCTCTATTTATAAAATCCTTGACTTTTTCATCCCCCCTCCCCTCCCCCCAATACTATTCAACTGGTGTTTGAAATGAGCTCAAATCCTGTCAAGGTCTGGGCAAGTTCAGATACTCTTTGGACTACTTTGAAGCCCTGGTCTGGAAGCATTGCCATCATCCCCACTAGTCTTCTCTTATATTTCTACACTAGTAATAATTATTACTTTTATTTTGAATATGGCTTGTACTTAGATAATTTTTTTTTTTATAAATGGAATGCTTCACAAATTTGCATGTTATTCTTGTGTTGGGGCCATGATAATCTCTGTACCATTCCAATTTTAGTGTATGTGCTGTGGAAGTGAGCATGATAACCATTCTTTTAATTCAGATTTGGTATCAGAAAAACTGTTATGTCTTGTGGTTAAGTCATCTGCATTTTCATAAAATTTTAATGTGGTAAATAGATGTCAGGATTTTTAGAGCAGGACTAGCTAAGAACAGAAGCATTTTTGCTTAATTCAGGAAAAGTCACATATTCTACTATACCTCAATTCTTTTGCCAGCCTAATAGGGAAGTGAATGAAAGATTAAGAAACTCTAATTACTATTATTATTAAGTTAAATTTTTTTAGTTGTTAATGAACCTTTATTTTATCTATCTATCTTATCTATCTATCTATCTATTTATTTATATGTGGTGCTAAGAATTGAACCCAGTGCCTCACTAGTGCTAGGCAAGTGCTCTACCCCTGAGCTACAACCCCAGCCCCATTATTATAATTTTTAAAAATTATTTTTGAGTGCTATTTTTAATTGGTTAATGTAAAAACATTCAAGTTTCTGAACTACATTCAGATTTGTATGCTTAATAGCATATGTTTATTTCAATATAACCATCATCCTTAGAATGCATCTGGTTCTCTTAATTTTCAGTCATTTAGTGTACCTTAATTTGCAAAACCATCTTAGAGTTGCATATTACTTGACTTGGGAGTTAAGTTTCTTTCTTCCATACTTTAGTTATGGAATAATGGGAGATGTTGCTATAGTAGAGTGGGAAGAAGCAGATAATATTTAAAAATCATATCCTATTTTTCTTATTGATACCAGTGCCTTATATATTCTTCCCAGTTCATTTTCCTGGATTGTGACGTTTTGGTGGGGTTAGGACTCCAGATAGGCATTGTGAAGTAATTCAGAAAATCCACAATCTTTTCCAAATTTCTTCTCTTTTCTGCTAGACTATTGTACTGAGAACATATATTTTTTGTGAGAGTAGGCATTTTATTACTTTAATAAAATACTTATTACATTATTAAATTATTACTTCTAAAGTTTGAGTGTATTTCTACTTAGTGGTTCCTTTTCTTCTACACATTGAATATATCTGTAAATGTCTGTTCATTAGGATATTAGTGTATATAAAACAATATCTTTCTCTTTTAAGGAGGCTGTATTGTGATTTAGTCATGCACAGATTCAGATAGGTAGGAATAAAATAACGAAATAATGAGAAAAACTAGTTCATGCATTAAATGATTCCTTAAATCTTTCTCTTAAAATTTTGCTGTAGATAGGTGATTTTGTGGTATAATTTTTGAAATAAAACCTAGGTTTTTCTTCTGGTACTGGTGTTGACATTTTAAATAACCCAAGAGTATATCTGTAACAACAGGCTTTTACTGATTGGCATCTGATTATATCTGATAACGATCTAAGAGAGGAGTTTTGATGAAGTGTCAGCTTAAGGGTCATTAATAAAAAAACATAAGTAACTAATAATCTGGAAATCACTTCTAAAGCTTTAAATGTGTAACATGTATTTGACTGTGCCTCGTGAGAACCCAACATGAAAAATTTATACACAGAGACTAGATAAACTTAGATTCTTTGTTTTACAACTTGATTATACTGAATGCTTCTAAAAAGGGTGTTTAAAAATGCTTTACATTTTTATGGTATACTTATAACATGGAATTTAGCTTAAAACTGTTTGTATATATGAGTGTTTATGTGTGTACACTTTTAGAAAGTAATTTTAATGATATATGGCTTAGTGCTGTAGAACTTACCAGTACCTTTTTGTTTTTTGCTTACTGGTTTTTGAATTATATATCTTGGAATAGTATTTGGGACATTTAACATTTACCTCAGTGCTATTTTCTGGAGACAAAGAAAATCAGGGGAATGGTTTAAGTTCTTTGAATTACTTTTGTGTGATGTTAGAAATAGTTTTTAATAGTGCCTCACATTACCTGATGAGTTTTAGAGGTATTTTTAGTTCATAAAGGCCATGAATGTTGAATTGAATTAAATTATAGTTAAAGACAAAAAAATGTAATTAATTTAAATTATAGTAGGATAAAATATTGTGCTGCTGGATCAACATTTGATCTCTTCCTTTATTTTTTAGAAGTCTGCTGAGTTTTGAAATTTAAAACCTTTAAATAATATTGAATGGGTAAAGCTATATAATAGATGTGGATTTATATTTCAGCAAAGGTATAAGAACCATAAGGCTTTGAAGTGAGGAGAGATTTTTAAAAATCTTTGAACTTGGAAAGAGATGTATTTTAATATTTTAACTGGGTTAGGATTGCCTGAGCACATTTGAGTTTGAGAGGAATGCAAGTGACCATGGATTGGAGATAAAGATCAGAGTAATTTGTGAGAGAAGGTCATATTAGCGACCCTGATATTCTACTCACCTCCAGCCTGCTGCCCTGGATAAAATTAGAAGTAATTATTTTTGTTGCATGACATAAGCCTATAAAATTATGTTTTTGTTTATTTCAATTGCTGTGTGGAATTTCCCAAATATGTATTTTATGTGATCTTTGGAAATTCCAGCTTACCTTTTGGGTTACAAACCTTAGAAATAATGCCAATAGATGGCACATTACCTAGAACACCAGCTTAATCTGAAAGACTGAGGTAAAAATGAAGGTAAATGGGAGCGGGATTGTGAAATTCAAAACATTAGAATGTGAACAGTTGCTAGTACAATGTAAAGAAAAAGAAGGATCATATCAGGGCCCACATGTGAATCCTGGTTTGCTATATTCAACATATCTAATAATAATGTAGCTATTACTGACAATATTTATAGAATTTGTTTCAAAAATATTATAGCAAAGGTCTAAGAAATAGCTGGATATATCACTATATAAGTTTTTTTGTTTAATATTAGTTTTAATACAGCTTTAAATTTGATTAATTAAATGATTTACATCAATGTGTTTTTAGTACCAATTCTTTTTTACATTAATATTATCAACATTTAGAAATACTGAAATGGCTTAGATACCCATTGGTTCTAAAGGAGGATTTTGAAAGAAAAGATAGACAATGGGGTATTAGATGCAAAATTGCATATTCTCAGGTATGTGGACATATTTTTTAAGATTTCAAATTGTGGAAGACTTCAGAAATGATAGATGGTATCCTTGGGAATCTGCAAGAATAAAAAAGAAAATGGAGTTGGTTGAAATTAATAGAGAATTTGGAAATTAAAAACAAGGTGATTAGATGGTAAACCATTCTAAATGGGGAAATAATTTGAATTAGCAATTGTTTTTGTTGGTGGTGTTTTTTTTTTTTTTTTTTTTTTTTTTTTTTTTTGGTACTGGGGCTTTAACCCAGGGGCATTTACCACTGGGCTATATTCCCAACCTTTTCATTTTGTTTCAGGGTCTCACTAAGTTCTGGGGCTGGTTTCAAACCTGTGATCCTCCTACCTTAGCTTCCTGAATAGCTGGGATTACAGGTGTGCTCCACCACATCAGAAGAACCATCAGTTTTTAACCGTATTACGATTTTAAATAGTGGAAGTGGAGGAAAAGATTATGCTTGTTTTTTTTTAGCATTTTCTTCTTTTTTAAATTAATTTTTAAAAATTTATATGACAGCGTAATGCATTACAATTCTTATTACACATAAAGCACAGGTTTTCATATCTCTGGTTGTATACAAAGTATATTCACACCAATTCATGTCTTCATACATGTATTTTAGATAATATTGTTCATCACATTCCACTATCATTTCTAACCCCATGTTTCTACCATTCCCTTTCCACCCCTCTGCCCTATCTAGAGTGCATCTATTCCTCCAGTGCTCCCCCTCTCTACCCCACTATGAATCAGCCTCCTTATATCAGAGAAAACATTCATCATTTGGTTGTTTTTTGGGATTGGCTAACTTCACTTAACATTATCTTCCCGGACTCCATCCATTTACCTGCAAATGCCATGATTTTATACTCTTTTATTGCTGAGTAATATTCCATTGTGTTTACATGGTATATATGCCACTTTTTTTTTTTTATCCATCCATTCATCTATTGAAGGGCATGGTACCACACTTTTTCTTCTTTTTAATTAGTTGTGAATATTTACAATAAGGTTCTCTGCCCTTTTTTTTGGTACCATGAATTAAATCCAACACCGAACCACATCCCCAACCCTTTTAAAATATTTTATTTAGAGAGAGGGTCTCAAGGAGTTTTTTAGGACCTTACTAAGTTGCTGAGTCTGGCTTTGAACTCACAGACCTCCTGCCTTAGCCTCCCAAACTGCTGGGATTACAGGCATGTGCCATTACACACCTGGAAGGTTCTGGAACCTTTGTCATTTATGGTATGAAGTTTGACTTTCTAGATGATATATATAGAAAAGCATTAAATTGATATGTTGTATCAGGTGTTCTTGTAATTACTATGAAAAAAAATAACAAAATATTTTCATTTGGGATATCTGCTTATCTGATATCTAAAACAGTTTATGTTTGGGAAACCAATATATATTGAAACACTGTATACCATAAAGTACATATTCTTAAAACTTTCTGCATTTTGAAATATTTAAAACTCATATTAAAGTAGAATAGTATCATGAACTGCCATGCACTCATCACATAGATATAAAAATTATTATTTTTTACTGTTCTTAAAGGTATAAAATTTGAAATATTTGTTTATTGAAATAAACTTGAACCCTTCTTGAATTCTGTGTTGCTTTGAAAATTTTTAAATCTTATGTTAAGAACAGATTCAATGTAGACTTAAATTAATGCTTATGTTGAGGGCAAAATATTTAAAAGTGATTATCTTCATATTGTTTCAGCATTAAATTAGGAAGGTTGTTTTCAGTTACTGGTTAAGTCTTTTGTTTAGTAATTTCAGCCTCCTGGTTTTGAAATGTGATAAAAAAGTAGCAAGTACAAGGACAGAAGCTCTTGTTTGCAGGATGCAGAAAGAAAACTGACTTGAGATATACTTCTCAGATGTAAAATGGAATTAATCTTTTGTTTGTCATTGTTTTTACTTCTTTGGGTAGGTTTGGGTAAATAGTTAAAATCATTTTGTA